TATGACAATTCATGTTGTGTAAGAATATTAATCAATATAATAATGGTCTATGTAAGAGCAGCTCTGATTATAAAGGCGCTGGAATATGAATTGGAAAATCGATTAGAGGTCGCATTAACACATCAGCACATTAACAATTAAATATCGTACTTACCTCGACTCTAACTCCGAACGCTTTATTGCTTTGTGTAGTGAAGCAGCCAAACTTAGAATTAGAATTAGCAGTATGTGTCTATTTTAAGGTTACTGGCGCGTGGTGAATCTGAGCCCACCCCTAAGGGGCCGAGACTGAGTATGCATTGTAAGACAAGTCGGGGAGAGGCTTGGGGGGAATCTGGCACTAATTATCAGTACCAAAGCCCGGACAGACTTCTCGCTGGCTCATGTTCCTGAAGACCTCATACGTTCGCGCGGGCGAAGAAGCGCTCGTGACCAAATGCCAATCATGAGGTTCCGCATGCTAGCGTATCCTCCCTCCTAGCCTTTGTTCACTCCCGTCACGCAACGGGAGGAGAGAGAGCGTGTTGCGTGACGAGACCAAACAATAGCTCTGAAGGAGACAACAGCGAGTGTTGCACCAATGCAGTTTATTTTTGCTTACAATTATTTAGACAACAAAGACAATAGACTGCAAAAGACCTGTGCCTGAGTTTATTTGGAATGAATTGAAAGGGCTTTTTTTCGCTCTCCATTAGACGATATTTTCGTTGGAATCTTTTGATAGTAATTATTTTTTTCTTGCTTGCATGCGTTGCATGCCTATGTTTACATACTGCGTGGCCAAGAGAAGAAGAATCTCGTTTTAATGCGTCGTTTAACGTAACGCTTGATGCGATTAACGATCTGTCAGCCTGCAGGCTTCTTAGTCCTCTTTAGCTACACGTTGCCCCGCTGCCTAATCAAATTTGATTATTCGTGCGCGTGTAAGCTGGCGCAAGTGAAAGCTGGCGCCCGTGAAAGCCGGTCAGACTTCCGAACGGCTGTTTTAAGTAGGGTATTTTTCTATGTAGATTTGAGGTTGTGATTTGTCTCCAGGAAAAAAAAACTGAGATCGAGTGCTGAAGACTCCCTTTGAAGTTACTGTTACTGTAGAGACGGTGTCGAAACGTCCCCAAGAACCCCTCCCATCTGTGAACATATACCGCAGGTGTCACGTCTCGTGGAAAAGCAAAAGATTATTTCACGAGAGCATAACTCTGCCTTATAACAGGAATGACAGCGATGGCAAAGCAAGCCAAAAGCGGCAGAGAACACCACAAACCACAATGGACAAACAAAGAGCGAGTAAGTTCTATTATCCTTACGTGTAGAATGTTCATATCCCGAAATATTTAGCGTTATAGATCGACCATATTTCTTTCCCCATACGATTCCTTACAGCGTGTTCAAATTCTCAACGTAACTTAACCCCACGTCACACAGCGCGTAACGCTTTCATTGATTTTAAAATCGTTTGCTTTTCTCGAGACGTAAGCTTGGAACCGGAAATTCGCTGTTGCTTCCGTAGTTTCCTAGAAATGCATTGTTTGCCTGTATTAATCTCAGGCAAGACAAATGATACCTAGTTCGTCTGCAGCTCTACTGGCCTTAATCCATCTCTCATTCGATTTTTCTCCAAGCCCAGGTACCTAATATATTAACCGTGTTACCACTTAACAAAAGTGTAGAAAGCGAGGTAATTTTCGACGACGTACCAAAGGATATATGCTCAAGGTCTTTCCGATTTGAGTACCCGAGGTCCTAAAGGTAAAATAAGCACGTATCATGTCCACATAGCCGATTTCTGCAACCGACCAGTAAATATGTTAAGGCCACAAGAAATTACAAAGCGTGTCGTCTGAACCTTTTTACTAGAATAATTTTACAGCAAGCGCACACACCGAAAACTTTGCAGTAAATTGAATTATTTTTTTAAACTCGAAGCCACGTGAGAAGCTAAACCATGAAAAGATCGTCTTAAATTTCACTGCAATTTAAAAAGCACAATATTTTCAACTTAAGAGCTGTTTACAGTGTTCGCTTGGCGAAATTAGCTCGAGGAAATGAAATTCCACGCTGCACCCGCAATATTACTTTGTAAAACTGAATTCTGACAACAGCCCACGCAGAACACAAGTATAGATTGATGAAATGAAGCAGAATTATAAAAGACTGTGGCTGATTGCGAAAATCAAAGAGGACTGGTGTAGCTACTTTTAAACTCACGGTATCGTGACATCCTTCCCCGGTTGAATTATGATCATGTTCTCCAGCTATAATATAGACTTAGTTTCATAAAACCATATATAATAGGCGGTGTACAAGGTCTGAACGACCCTGTGTTTTCAAAGCATGATGTGTTTTAATGTTCTATGTGGTACCTTCAACACTGCGCTGTTCAAAAGCACATTGCGAATTGCACCTTATCGTGAGGGTACAAACTGATATAAATTTTGAAATCCCCCTTGTGAAACCTCCGAAAACCCCTATTAGAATGGCTTGATCTACGAGACACTTTATAGGGAAAGAAATGAAGATTGGTCGTCGATCCAAAGCAAAATCCTTTTTGCAAGCCGTCGCCTCCAAATAGCATTAGGTATCCTTCTGAGCGTGTCAGGCCGCTTAGCTTACATCCACTGCTAACCAAATTGAAATCATTTCGCTTATATTTTATCTAACACTACTTACCGAATTAGCTTTTACAATTAATCCAAAGAACGCACGGTGACTCCGCCAACGTCGATCGTCTTTGGTAAAGTTTGGAGTAAGCAATGGCTCTTCTTGGAATCAATAATTAATACATGTGTGTCTACGTCTGTGGGGGTGGGGTTGGGGACATTAGGGGACACCTGGTACACAAGCTATCTTTTCTCATTTATCTCAGATAGCGAATAATTTACAGTTGCAGTGGTATATTACCTGTAAGAAACAAAGACCAAGTGTTCCTTTGCGACTGCTTTTGCCTTAGGTAGGAAGTAAGCAGCTCATATGCTTTTGAACACCACCCCACCCCCCTTCTGTGATTATGTATGATAAAATCTCAGCTTATTTTTCCAGTTTCCTAGAAAGACGGACATTGCCTTTGAGTGTTTGCTTTCCTCTCAACAATGATTGGCTCGTGATCATGTTTTAATCTGCATAAATCTCTTGTTCAATTCACAATCCCCAAAGACCTGCTCCTTTTTTGACTGAGTACCTGAAGCTGTTATGGTGAATTACAACCATAATCTAGTCATTAGTACTGAGATATGTTAAGAAAAGGCAATGATATATATTTTTTTAATTTTAGCGCCTTACCTAACAATGGTTAACAGCAGACGATAGCGAATGTCATTTAATACAAGATATGCCTGCGAAACAGGCGACGCGAAGTGCGAGTCAAGCGCGAGGCGGCGCGAAATGCGAGTCATGCGCAAGGCGGCGCCGAGTGCGAGTCACGCTCTAGGTCACCTCTGACCCGCTTGTGTCACTAAAGGCATCATACTTTCCCGCCGGCGAAGAAAAGCACGCTTTGTAGTGATAACTACACCTTGATAGTGAACTATTCCGCTCACGAAGTATTTCACTGGCCTAAAATAGCACTAATGGTAATACAGGTTGTTTTATGTGAAATGAGAGCGATTGGTATCGTTCACCTCTTAATTAGGGACCAGTCATTACTCATCGTTCGGGGGATGATTTTCTAGTGATCTCCATCATTAGCAGAAAGTTTTCCTTCCTCTTTATTTCCTTCCCATAAGTCCTTGCGCACGATCTCTATACTCTCGGGGGATTTGACCGGTTACTTGCATGACAGAATGGTTGGTAACGCCGTCGCTTAGTAGTCGCTCGCGAATAGAAAATAAACAATGAAATTCTGACTTTAAAACTACTAAGGTGGCTTGGATTCAATCCAAGGTCAAGATAGACATATTAGTCTGATAAATGCTTAACAAAACCATCCACTGTAATATTGTGTTTAAAATAGAATCGCTTTTCATCAGTCAGTGCATTCATATATACTGACTTTAAATACCTTGACTGTTTGTTACACCTATACATACTTATACATCAACTTCATTTTGGCATCACAGTGTCATGCGTGTAGACAGATGTTGACGCATAACAATTGGGAGAGGCCATGTGATTGATCGTAATCTTAGATAACTCTTATCAAGACAGACTTAAAAGGGTAAGTTGATCTAAACAAACTGTTAGTGGTTCTTCTGCGTCGGCGGGAAGGGGAGGGGTGGGGAGGGGGGTATTACAAGCTTATTTTGTCTTATCAACTGAGTTGATGATGTAAACCATTAGTTCCTAGTGTTAGTTCTTCGTCAGGGCGTCTGCTAACACCCGCAACAGCAAAACGAAAATAACCAAACAAGTTAGAACACCAAAATAACCAAAACATAACAACCCGGCGCAACGAATGAAAAAAAAAAACATCAGCAAAAAGCAGTCAATGGCAAGCCTATCTACCCCGTAGAATATCGAAAACGTCGGAAAATGATCTTGGCCAACATCCTGGGCAGTGTTGAGGAGGAGCGTTCTTGACAACGAGGGGTGCACAACGAACTCATTCACAATTTTATAATGATTAAATGCTTTTAATATAGTTAACAGTGGTTATAACAGTCTAAGACGCTCATATGATAACGTTTTTTTACTTTTTTTTAATAAGAATATTCGAAATAGCAAAATTGTTGCAGTTACAGTTCTACACTGGATCGAAAAAGGCAACTTAGACGGAAAATCGTGACTATATGCAGGTATAAGAAGATTATATCACTTCAAAGAATTGAAGCCCTATATAATATTCATAAACTAATCTGGATAAAGGTGAGTCAGCTTTTACTCACTTTTTATCAGGGAAACAACGATGCCCTATCTATTTGTCTTTCTAATGGAGAGAATATAAGAGACGCTTATTTTATGGAATAATAGGCTACAGTACCTTGCGAGTAACCTCTTATAAAACGTCTCACACCTGCTCGGCAAATAGATTCTGCGTTACCTTTAGCAACGCGTGTGTAACGACCATCCAAAAGTCTCGAAAAGTTTCAGCTCGAAGGTATTAAGCAAAAAACCAAGCGTGAGACAGACCATCTGTTACGCATTATAAGTCTATGTTTTCATGCTCGATAAACGGAAGAACTAAATCTATCTTCTTGAAAGACGCGAGTATCTTTTTAGTAAAGCAATTTGTTCATCATCATGACCAACACAGCGATGGTTCCAAACAAGACAACTTTAGCACTTGAGATCTCTGCAGCACCATTCAACTGGGTGCTGTTGCAGGCTTTATCAGAACACGGATCCAAGGTCTTCCCCCAGTTTGGAGGCTTGTGTGACACTGCCAGTGTCTGGATGCTGGTGCAGGCTTTATCAGAACACGAGGCCAAGCTCTTCACCCAGACATTGTGTCCATCCACTTTCAAAGGTAGCGTTCCCTGTTTTACAGCTGAGGCAAATTCAGAGATACGCTTGTTGAAGTGGACGGATGGAGTGGATGTGATGGCGATGCCCAGGGCTTTCTTATCAGCTAATAAGACGACAATTTCCAGGTTTTCTGGATCTTCAACTCTCCCAGTATAGGCAAGCCAGTCCATTACATCTGAGTTCCACTTCAAGGCACTCGCAATGGCTGAGCCAACTCCATCTGCGAATCGACTTTGAGCATCAGATTTAGGAAGATTATCAGTTGAGCGCCTCGATCGCAGAAAAAACTTTTTAATCTTCAGCTTGGTAACTCTGACTGGGCCCTCTTTCAGCTCTCTGTAACATTTCTTGATATTAGCAGACAATCCACATTTCTCTCCTATGTTCCACATTCCCTTGAGAGATTCCCAGAGTGTGTCGACTTTGACAAAGGAACCCTTGATGGTCCAAAATATCTGGAAGTAATCAGAGCAGTCGAGATCACAGACGGACGACACACCATTTCCTGGATTCAGGTAACATGGTGTATGAGAGGCAAACGCTTTTTCTCGTATCTCCTCGCAGGTTGGATCGTCGACCCATGGCCGCAATAGTGGCACCAGTGAGACTTGGAGGCATTTACGAACTCCGTTAACCCAGTTTTTCCCGCTTAGACTGAACTTTGCAAAGTTTTGGTCATACAGCTTGCAAAAATGTTCAGCGTATTTGACTGCATATCCATTACTTGTAGCTTCACAGGGATACCTCCTCTCCAGGCAGTTGCGATACCAATCACAGGAATCCCCTGATGGACTATAGCACTCTGGAGGCAGTAATGTGGTAATGTTTGGATGTGAGGTTGGATTGCTGGGAGTACAGGAACAATCACTCGTCACTGATCCATAGTCCTTGTTATGCACTTCAAGCATACACTGATACCAGCAGTAGGTTGCAGTTCGGTCTATACACTGATGTTTTTGGTTGCTCTTTTGCTTCATGTAAGCATCCGTCACGCACGTCCCCCACTGGTACTCGTTATTGTACGACCTTAATTGAATGCATTCAACAGTTCCAGCGGGTCCAGACCACTTGTTACACTGGGCGGCCCATCCCAACTCAACCACAAGCAATAGCATAAACGTAAGAGCTAGCATCGTTCAAAGCTGGAACCTGGGAATGTAATTAGGCCATTTTAAGATTAAGTATCTAAGAATACATTAGAAGCTCCCGAAAGAAACGAAAAATGGTCCGAGATGGGGGAGGGGGTGGGGCTCCGGTTAGCTTGTTTTGAATATCAGTTATTCTTTTAATGATTAATAGGGAATCATGTTTTTGTTATTCTGGCACAAACAACGGTAATATCTGTACATTTAGTTTGTTTTAAAAGAGCTTTTTAATAAGAACATTTAGCTTGGGAAGTTTAGCTAAACATTACGCTTTCATTAATGTTATCACGTTCATATCAATCGTGATGAAAGATTAGAACGTATCAATCAGCTATGTTCTGACACTCTCAAGTTCGAGTTATCAGGGCAAATTTGAGCTCAGGGAAAGTAAAATTAGCTTGGGTTAATTAAGAGTCCGGCTTAACCGAGTTCGAGCAAGCTGATAGCGGGGGATTCGTGTAATTGGGGCTCTACTGTATTACAAAAGTTTTGCATAGACCGGGAATTTGCTGTTGCTTCCGTAGATTCCTAGGAATGCATTGTTTGCCCGTATCATCACGGCCAAGAAAAATTATTTATAGTTAATCTGTAGCTCTGCTGGCCTGAATCCAACTCTTATCCGATCTTTCAGGCTCCTAATATATTGACCGTGCAACAACTTAGCAAAAGTGCAGAGAGCCGGGTAATTTTCGACGACGTACCAAAGCGTATATGTGTGAGGTCTTCTTATGAGGTCAATTCACTATTTATCTTAGTACCCTATTTATAGGCACGTATCACTCCCACTTGGCCGATTTCAACGACCGACTAGCAAAGCCACAAGAACTTAAAGCGTGTCTTCTTAACCATTAACCAAATTAATTTTACAGCAAGCGGACACGCCAAAAACCTCGCAGTTTATTGAATTATTTCAAACTCCACGAAATGTCGAAGCCACGCGAGAAGCTAAACCATGAAAGGATCGTCTTAAATTTCGCTGCAATTTAAAAAGTGCAATATTTTCAAAGAGCTGTGTACGTTGTTCGCATGGCGAAATTAGCTCGAAGAAATGAAATTCCATGCAGCACCCACAATAATACTATATAAAACGGAACTCTAATAACAGCCTACGCAGACGGCACAAGTTTGGATTAATCAAATGAAGCCGAATGGTAAAAGACTGTAGCTGATTGCGGAAGTGAAAGAGGCCTCGTGTAGCTACTTTTGAAATTCACGGCAACGTGACATCCTTCCCCGGTTGAATTAAAGATGCTATGATCATGTTCTCCAGCTATAGTATAGACTTGTTTTCATCGTAGAAGTGGAAGAGGCCTCGTGTACCTAATTTGAACTATGACATGTTCCTGTGTTTTCATCAAACCATGATGCATGATTAGTTTCAATGCTCTACATAGGACCTTTCAAAGTGTGCAATTCAGTAGCACTCCCCCCTTAGCGTGAGCGTACAAGCTGATATAAATTTTGAAATCCCTCTTTTGAAACCTCCGAGAACCCCTTTTAGAATGGCTTGATCTAAGAGACACCTTATAGAGAAAGAAATGAAGATTCGTCTTCGACCCAAAGCAAAATCCTTTCTGTAATTTGCGCAAGCCGTCGTCTCCCAATAGCATTAATTATTCCTCTGAGCGGGTCGGGCCGCTTCTATTACATCCACTGCTTACACGCCGGGCTGGCGCGTGCCGTGAAGTGGAACTTTGTCGCCCGCTGTTGTTTGAGATTGTACAGCGGAAATGCGAATAAAAGTACAAAGCAGTTTTCAAAATGGCGGCTGAAAATAGCATTTTGAATGCTATTGTGGCTCTTCGTCCTTTACGTGATGAAGTCGATAATTTCTTTTTGTTTGAAGAAGAAGTAAAAACAGCTCTCACTTCAATTTTTGAAAAAAACCGTGTGGGCCAAAGCTCTTTGAAACGAGCTAAAATGTCACAAATTCCAGCGACAGCACTCCTGGAAGGAGAAGTGAAGATGTGGCTTAAGATGCTCCATAGGCGCCTCAGTCCAAGAATGAAGGCCCGAAGCGCTTGGACTGTAGAGTTTAAAAGGGCGATGTCCTCGGAAATATTTTTGCTTAATTTTACAGATGGTTAAAAAGGCCCGTTCCGCTTATGGTGTTGTGCACAACGAAGAAAAACACACAGATATAATCTACTATAACAGAGAGAACAGACTGATTCGAGATTTTGCCCAGTTATCTGAGCTAAGCAGAGACTCAGTCCGAGAATTCCTTATTAAGCAGAGTAAAGGAACAAGAAAAGGAACTTCAAAAGTTTCCATAACTTCTGAAACGCCTTTCACCATCACATTTATTAAGAGGACACAGCAAGTGGTGGGTATTGTCTCAAGTCTCTATATGCACCATTGACTTGGTTTTCAGTTTCTAAGCCCTCTAGATAGTCTGGGTCAATTTCATGAACAGTCCCAATGTCAATCTTTTTTAACTGTTCTACAAGGTTACTATAAGTTAGAAGCTTTGGAACCTTACAGCCTTTACAAATTGAAATACTTGTTCTTTTCCCTGGTTTGCCTTTATTTGATTTCATTGAAAGCACCAGTCTTACACTTTTGTACTTTCGTTTCCCCATTACACCACTTGCATAATATGTTGCAATACTTCGAACAATGTTGTCATCTGACTTTTCAAATTCTAACACACTCTTCTTATACTCTTTACAAACTATTCTATTGGTCAACTGCTTGTTCTCTGTCACATATTTTGTTAACTTATCTAACTTGCATCTCTTTTGCAGAGTGTCAAACATTCCCTCGAAACAGGCTGAGGAATGTTCATTTGAGCTCCCATGAATTTTGGCAGCAGCTTCAATGGTTTCATGCCTCCTTTTCCTTGCGGTCCTTGGTCCCAGTGTTGATTCTCCATTGACAAGTGCAGTAGGGCTTCTTGTTCGTGCCTGAGATACCTGTCCCTGTGACTAAAATATTGCTAAATTAGACACTGGGTAGTAACACAATTATTTAAATTAGATGTGGTTGGATGATAACAAAATAGATATTTAGCCAAATCTTACATTCAATATGTTGATGTTTACAATTTAGAGACACTGTCATTTATGACAGTCTTTACTGACCAAATGAACACAGGCACTCGCTCAGGTTTCTTGCATAGGTACTGGCATAGAAGCCTGACCATGGCTGTCATTCTGGCACTGGCTCTGTGTTAAGTGGTTAGTTCACCGAAATTGAACTTGCAAAATATTTTTTTTTATTTTTACAAAATTGAATATTTTTCTGTTCACATTATTAATAAAATTTGGCATAAAATTAAACCTCATCCAACCACTAATCAATGCAAACCTACAGACTTAGTTGGAGGTTGCGCCCAGCAGTTTTTTGCTGCATACTTACTGGTACTGGTAAAACAACCACAATAAAGAATCAAGAGTATACTCACAGGAATATTTTCTAATTCATTTGTTATGTCTTTGAAGTGTTCCCTGACTGTGGCCAACTGAAAGCAATTATTATACAAGTGATTTCATAAGCACTGATTGTTTAATTTCAAGTGTCATTTAGAGTTTAAACACATAAAAAGCTTTTACCCTGTCAAAATTGAAATTCAAGCCTCCCTACACATGGACCTCCACCACTTTCCTATAATCCTTTGTTACAATATTCTCTGATATTGAAAATAAAAATCTTCCCAAAACATTAATACTGGACAAATTTAACTCACCTTTTCTTGGGCTCGCTGGACTTTTTTGTACTCTGCCGATAGCTTGCGATTTTCATCAACAGCTTTCTCCCTTGCAACCTTGCGAGCTTTCATGAATTGAGCCAAGTTAAAGCGCGTGTTCTTTGTGTGCGGCATCCTAGAAATTAACTCATAAAAAACTAAGGAAAGAAGGCAAAATTAGGAAAACAAAAATCATAGAGCTTTTGTCAAGGCTTTGAAGTTTCGGTTCGTAGCACAAATTCTCGGATAAGTAGAGAAACTTAAAAAACTATCCTAGCCAAAAATACGATAGAAACGACAAATAAACCTTACCTTTTCTTTTACTATTTCCTCTACTGTCTCTTGCTAAGCGAACATCGAAGAAACCATGGCATATTTAGTATCAAAATGACGGGAAAACTGTGTACTTTCAGCACATTCGAGTTTTGGCGCCTTCGGACTAACTCCAGGACCGCTCGGAGGCAGTTTTCAACAGGCATTAACTCAGTTCCAGGCTTCTCTAAAAACCACACGGTCACAAACGCCATATTTGTGGACGCTGATTGTTCCGCTTCAGAGCGCTCACCCGCCCGGCGTGTACCAACTTGAAATCATTTCGCTTATATTTTATCTAACACTACTTACCAAATTAGCTTTTATAATGAATCCAAGGGACGCACGGTCACTCTGCCAAAGTCTATCGTCTGTGGTAAAATTTGAAGTGGGTATTGACTCCTCTTTGAATCAATTATTAACAAAGGTGTATCTACGTCTGTATGTGGGGGTGGGGGTGGGGACATTAGGGGAAACCTTGTACACAAGCTATCTTTTGCCATTTATCTTAGATAGCGAATCATTAACAGCTGTAGAGGCATATAACCTGCAGGAAACAAGAACGTATTGTTCCTTTGCGACTGCTTTTGCCTTAGGTAGGAATTACGCAGCTGATATTCCCCTGAACACCACCCCACCCCCCTGCTGTGATTATGTATGGTGAGATCACAGCTGCTTGGTCAGTTTCCTAGAAATACGGACATTGTCTTTGGGTGTTTGCTTTTCTCTCATGATGATGTTATTTCATTCACAATCCCTAAAGACTCGCTCCTTTTTTTACCGAGTACCTGAAGTTGTTATAGGGAATTTCAACAATAATCTAGTCATTAAAAAAGGGCAATTTTTATTTTTTTTTACGAAATTTCAACGCTTTGCCTAACAGTGATTAATAACAGACGATACCTAATATCATTTAAAACAAGGTATGCTTGTGAAACAAGCATAATTTTTAAAGGTTTTTCAGTCGAACGAAGGCAAGCGAGAGGCGACGCGAAGTGCGAGTCAAGCGCGAGGCAGCGCGAAGTGCGAGTCACGCGCAAGGCGGCGTGAGGTGCATGTCACACGCTGGGGAGGAGCGCATAGATATGCCCGCAAATAGGCCCTCGCATTAGCGCTAAAAGAAGCATGTTTCGCCTCCCGCAGGAAAGTTTGAGTTGTGTAGAAACGAGGTTTACCTAGGGTCTGGCATTAATATGCAGACCTCTGACCGGCTCGTGTCATCATACTTTCACGCGGGCGAAAAAAACACGTGCCAAGCATTAGCAAGAAGAGAAGATAAACTGGGCATGTCGGAGGCTAATATTGTAGAAGTTTCTCCGCCTTATTAAAACTGACACTTCGTGCACGCACTTTGTCGTGATGACAACACCTTGAAAGTAAAGCATTCTGCTCATGAAGTATTCCACTGGCTTAAAAGAGCAGGGATGGTAATACACGTTGTTTTAAGTGAAACGAGAGCGATTGGTATCGTTCACCTCTTACTTAGAGACCCTCACCTCTTACTTAGAGACCCCCCTTTTATACCCTGTAATTAACGACTGATCTCCCCTCCGTTCCCCTTAAAAGCCACGCAGTCCTCTCAAAACATCCTCTGCCTCTCCCTCCCCCCTCCCCCAGTGATAAATATTGACTGGTCCCTTAGGTACCCAATTAATAATGTTAATGTTTCTGTAACCGCCAACCGAAATCAAATATTAAGGAGTTTGTTACCAATGATAAACATATAGTAGTGTGCTAAATTCAGTTCTGTAACTTTTTGCCTGCTTTAGGGTTGACTATCTCGTAATAAGAGCTGTTCGTAAACTAAATTTTATAAATTAGTTTTGTTTTCCTCAAGACTAAAGGGTCAATGAAAACGCTGTTTTTTTCTTTCGTTTTTGTTTTAACCCTGGGCAATAGAATGTAAAATCTTGCCCTTGGAGAGTAGAATTAATTAATGTACTGAAAAAATTTCCTCTCCATTATTTCCTTCCCATAAGTCCTTGACCGGCCAGTATGACAGAATGATTGGTAACACCGTCAATTAGTGGTCGATCATGAATAGAAAATAAACAATGACATTTTGACTTAAAAAACTATTAAGGTGACTTGGAATTTGAACCCAAACAAAAACCAAAATTTAATCCGAGATTAAGATCGATATTAAAGTCTGATAAATATAATATAACTATAATAATCAATTATTAATTAATTAATTATAATTGTTAATATAATATTGTGTTTAAAATAGGATCGCCTGTCATCACGAACTGAATTGAATCGCCTCGACAGTTTATTACAACTATACATACCTATATACATCAACTTCATTTTGGCATTACATTGTCATGCATGTAGACGGATGTTGACGCAAAACAATTGGGAGAGGCCATCTGATCGATCGTAATCTTAGATGACATAAAATGAAACCGGTGCACATCACTGAAATGACATCCAAATGCGTTTGTGTAAGGAAGACTATGAACTGCTTGAGTTGAGTTTGTAACAATTGGGCGCCGGCCAATCAAAAATAATCTGTCTTTCTAGAACACTAAAGTGGAGGGGAGGGGAGGGTATAACAAGCTTAACAACGGCACCCTATCTAATTGTCCATTCAACAGTTCCAGCGGGTCCAAACGTTTTGTCACACTGGGCGGCCCATCCCAACTCAATCACAAGCAATAGCATAAACGTAAGAGCCAGCATCGTTCAAATCTTGAACCTGGAAAATGTAATTAAGCCATTTTAAAATTGAATATCTATTCATACATCTGCAGTGCGAAAAAGAATACAATAGAAGCCCGCTAACTCGAACTCCCAAGAGAAAGGAAAAATGGTTTGAGATGGGGGGAGGGTTCCAGTTAGGCTATGTTGAAAATCAGTTATCCTTTTAATTATTAAAAGGGAATCATGTTTTTACCGTTCCTGCTCAAAAAACTTTGTAACATGAGGAACATAAGAAAATTCTCAGATGAGTGTTCTGCGGATGCTTTAGTTCATTCCTTTGTTACGTCTAACATTGACTATTGTAATGCCTTTTTGTTTGGATTACCTAAATATCAGATCAGTAGGCTGCAATTAGTAGTAAACACTGCTGCGCGTGTTGTCACTCTAACTCGCAAACGTGATCGTATAACTCCTGTAATGAAATCGCTGCACTGGTAACCTGTATCTCAACGTATTACTTTTAAGATTTGCCTATTAATTTATAAGACACTCAATAGCTTGGCGCCAATTTATCTATCTGACCATTTGGCCCCGCGCCGTAATAAGTGCTCACTTAGATCTTGAACTCTGAAACTTTTAACTCTTCCGAGATCCTGAACAGTGACTTATCGAGATAGAGCGTTTTCCATTGCTGAATCAAGGATTTGGAATGAACTGCCAGTTTCTTTGAGAAAGGCTGCCGACATCAATTCCTTTAAGCGTCAACTGAAAACCCATCTCTCCAAGAAAATATACTTTTGCTGGAGTTTTTCATAAATATAATTGAACTGTTATTAATATGAATTGTAGATGGATATTGTTAGTTGATTTTATATGATGATTTTGTATAATGATTTGTAAAGCGTTATGGGCAATTAGTGTAATAACGCTATATAAATAAACTTATTATTAACCAGTAACCAATATGATTTTAAAGCAAGTACACACACCGAAAACATTGCAGTATATTGAATTATTTTTCAAACTCTACGAGATGTCGCAGTCATGTGAGAAGCTAAACTTTGAAAAGATCGTCTAAAATTTCTCCGCAAATTAAAAAGCACAATATTTTCAACTAAAGAGCTGTATACAGTGTTCGCATAGCGAATTTAGCTCGAAGAAATGAAGTTCCATGCAACACCCGCAATGATACTTTGCAAACTGAACTCTAATAACAGCCCACGCAAAGAACAAGTTTAGATTAATCAAATGAAGCTGAATGGTAAAAGACTGTAGCTGATTGCGGAAGTGAAAGAGGCCTCGCGTAGCTACTTTTGAAACTCACGGTATCGTGACACCCTTCCCCGGTTGAGATCAGGTTCTCAAGCTATAATATAGACTTAGTGTTATCAAACCATATATGATAAGCGGCGTACAAGAGCTGAACGACCCTGTGTTTTCAAAAGCATAATATGTTTCAATGTTCTATATAGTACCTTATAGTACCTATATACAATACAATATTTAATTATTAATGAGATACATGAAAAAAATTACTCAGTTCTTATTGGTTAAGAAAAATGCAGTTTTCAGGTAATTCAACGTATTTTTTCATGAATATTATTGTCACGTAATTGCATGATTTTTCTCGCGCGATTTGGAATAAATAAGCACGAGAGCTTATTATAATATAATTCGGGTGGTTCGGACGAACCCCCCAAACTGAAAGAAAAAACATTCTAACACGTGCACAAAAAAAAACAACGAAACAAACGAAACCAAATGCCGGTCTAAAATTCGTTACATATAAGCGCTTCCTATTTTATTTGTCTACTTGGTAAAGTAACAGGTTCGTTATTCCCTCTACTAGCGCCCAAAGTGGTCATTTTCGGAAATTACTTAAATAGGGTTCCACTCTTCGTTTGTCAGTGAGCTTATCAACGTGCAATAATCTGTGATTAGTTAATAATTATACATCTATAATTAGTTGTTGTGTCCAAATACACAAGCTCCATTGCGTAAATTACTGTACAATACCACTTACACAAGTTACTATATTTGTACGAGTAATTCTACGTAGGTAATGTTGCATAAAATGTACTGTATAAGTGAGAGAATTGTTGCAACAAAACTTTCTTGTGACTGGAAGAGTTACAGTATTCAAGAATGCTATCTAGTTAAGAGGTGAGTTGAACGACTGCCAGCAGCGCCCAATTGAGAATTACTTTTCCCAAAGGAGTCGGTATTCAATTTGAAGTCGGTCGAGTCATGTCCAAAAGGGGGAAGCAACAGGAAATTAATCGTTTTTTCAGTCCACTCCTTAAGCATGCTAGTCATGAATTATTCTATTGATCATTAATCAGTTATCTTGACTCTGAATTAGGGTACACTGTTTGGTCTTTTTACAACGGCGAGATGAAAGATCCTGTCATAATTTTGAACCGCGTGTAATTTTTTTCCTTTAGATCGGACAGCTACGAAAATGATGAGCAATCGTCAGCCAGTGAGAATTCGTCGAGTACAAAGAGGATTCGCTCTGCCAGCGATTCCGGTAAGCATTCATTCATTTGTATGTTGAATTTAAGTTGATGGTCATATTTTTTTCGTTTTGTAGAGATAGAAGAACTAACAGAATCACAAAGTAATGCAGGCTGCAGCCAGAATTTAGTTTTGACCGTCACTGATCCCAAATTGCTCTGAACAAAAATACCCTTAGAACATTAATTTACGATATTGCCTTTTCTTTGGATTTGTCAATAGAATTACCGAAAATGGTGTAACTTTGATTAATAATGGTAATTGAACTGAGTGGAGTGCAATTTGGGCTGAAATCATACGCGTGATTTCAAAATCGAACGAGCGCGCAGCGCGAGTTCGATTTGAAATCACAAGTTACCACTTTATTACATCCATTTTGAAATCAACCAAATACAGGACTTGGTCAATTCGAACATTTTATTGATGCAGTACTGAGCCGGTTTTTAAATAAAAAGCGGAACCGGAAACGCTTTTACATCTTATTTTGTATGCAAAACAGAAAGACTTTGACGTCTGTGTCAAAAACTCAGTCAAGCGTATCAAAAGAAAGACAACTTTCATTCAAGAAATTCGAGAAGTGCTCAATAACTCAGAAAAATAGTGAAGTGTTAAAGTTCAGTCCTCGTCGTCTGACTCAATGATGTAAGCTCTTCGTTTCTTCTGTGGTTGGGGTGGAGAATTCTGGCTTTCTCTAGAGAAGAAATTGAAGGTGCAGCCTGTGTAATTCTGCGATGGAACGGGAGCAGCACAACTGAAGGCTTCCATGCGGTACTGAGACTGCAACGGAAAACATGGTGGAAATCCTGAAAATTCAGCCGGCTGAAAACCAGGATTAGAGCCCATGGCCTGATGCATTTGGCCTTGTTGTTGGACGTGATAAATAGGAACCAGAGGTGTTCGTTTATGTTGGACTGCAATCTCTTGATTTGAGGCTTCATTTGCAGTGTTTTGGCGGGAGACTTCGTTTGCTTGATTTTCGTTTGACACTCCTTTATATGCACTGATAATTTGAGACAGTTCTTTCCTGTGATTCTCGTCTATTTCATCGTAGTCGTCTAACGAAGATTCACGTGCATGGCCTGTTATTTCACAGATAACATTGCGCGGTTGACCAGACTTCTTCAGTTTTGATACCAATCTTTTCCTCATGCTGTGGTTCGTCAGCTTCTTATTCGTCCTGAGACAGGAGGCCATGGATTTCATTAAATTGTCGATGGTATTTTGTCCCATTCGAACTTTGGTGTACCAAACTTCTGCTGATTTAGGACGATTTATGATGCTAAGATAGAGTGGCCCTGTGTTCTTCATTCCTTCGGGTCGCTTGGACAACCAAAGCTTGAATAGCCGCACTGGATCGCTTTTTCCGCCATCGCTGCTGAACATTGCCTGTGGTGTTGTTCTTCGCCTGATGTTGAGACCACCGCTCCGCGTTTTAGTGGGACCTTCCCTGAACTCAACAACTTCAGTTCCATCTTCTCGCTGTCTTATAATTACGTCTTCCACGTATGCATTGTAGTGTTCTTGGCGACCACGAAATCCCAGTTATTCTGTCAAATTTTTGAAGTTGACATTGGTCAAGACCTTTCCATTAAAAACACCCAACTGACCTTTTTCCCACAGGGCTGACTCTTCTTCAGGTGTGATTGGCTGAGCTTTGTTGGGTCTCTTTCCCTTTCCTTGTTGACGTAGGGAAATTGCTTTTGCATTGAGGATTTCTTGTGATGAGTGAAACTCTCTCGATCGCACGATGCTCAATGGATAGTTCTTCTCCTTTAGATACCGTTCAATGGCACTCTGCATGATTTTAAGGGATTCTGGCTCGTAGTCATCTCCGTCCTTTTTTTTCACCTCGGCGTAAAACTTACTCAAGACCTGTCAAGTTTTTCAGGCGCCATTGTTTCGATGGAGACATATTCAAGATGGCGGCATTGACACCAGCTTCTGAAAACATTCATCCATTGTTTTGTGGAGCAGGACGTATTTTTATTCGAAGCGACAGACTTAAGCTCCTGTATTTCATCGCTTGAAATGATAGGAAATCTTGAAACATCTAACTCTTGTGGTGGCTTTTGATTTTCTTCGTTTGTTGCTGACTCGGTGGACTCGGGATTGTGCGGATTTTGAGCTTGAGAGGGTAGAAAATCGTCAAAATGTTCACCAAAATGTACACGAAAAGTGGGAAAGTCCCTGGAATGTTGGGGTCTTCAGCCTGAAGGATCTCATTGTCATCTTTCAAAAACTGGAAAAAATTAAATTCATCCATTTTTTGGGGGGAAAAATTAATGTTATGTAAACAAAAGTTGCAAAATTTGCGAAATGATACTCTTTGTCTTTCATTTTCCTGCAATTTGATTGGTTACTTTAAACAAGCCTTGAAATCTGATTGGTTGCTTTGTTTTAAGTGTAACTTCCTCATTGGCTGGAAAAAAGATGCGATTCAGAGCAAAAAATGGTGCGATTCGTGAATAAATCGCACCAATTAGAGCCAATCAGATCACGGACCACCAGTGATTTCAAAATGGATGTAATAAATGAAAATATTTGTCCATGGCTTGAGGATCGACACAATCGCATTATGCACGTTTTTCATGGTTAAATACACTATTAGTTCATAAAATGTTCAAGGAATGGCGTGCGCTATTATCGGTCAGTTCGCCTTCGGGTTCATACTTGCGCCGCGCACGTGCTTTATGGAGCATCAGTTCGCACGTTTGAACGCACGCAATTTTGTCAGCATTTTATAAAAGAAATATACTTGCTACTCTATCACTGTTGGCTTATAAAAGCACTTGGGAACTTATAAGGTACTTGAGACGTGCTACTGCGGGAACTCGGCCATAATTCATTTCTCCCGCGTTCTTAAAAATACTTGCATGCTTTTATGTAAAATCAACATCGCTCTCCGGCGGCGCGCGTTTTCTTCTTCTCGAAAAAAACAAACAAACAAAACAAGTAACCTGGACGCAAATAAAAGAGGCTTCCATTTGATTTGGCATTTAAATTTTTGCACTATTTTCATCGGAACAGCCTGTGCCATGATGATCCTTCCCCGTGAAGTACTTTGGAAATCTCCAAGTGGCTTTCCTTGGATAAACGCATGACGCGCCTTGCACCAGTGTGCAAATATCTTTACAACGTTATGCACGATCCTAGTCTTTGGCGAACTGTTTATTCGAATGCTGAATTTACCATTTCCTCGTTTAATTGTCTATTTAGACATGATAAAGATTTACGGCACTTAGGCTTTAGGCATTCCCGTGTGTGTTAGACTTTTATAACCATTGTTAACCATTAAAGCATTACAAAAATGGGGAATGACTTGTTTATCTCGCACTACTCGTTGTCAAGAACGTCCCCCCCCCTTAACACCCCTTTACCTGTTTGTTATTGAATGCTTATCCTCTTTTCCTAGTCGTTTCGCCGGGTTGTTTCGTTTTGGTCATTTTGGTGCTTTTACTTGTTTCTTGATTTTCGTTTTGCTTTTTCAGCTGTTAGCATATGCCCTGAAGAAGGACTAACGCTCGACACGTCAAAGAAACGGTGGGCGGTGGACGGTAAACGGTTTACAAGATCAACTCAGTTGATAAAACCTGATAATCGAGGGTATGTTAATCGTGCGCAAGGACTTAGGGGAAGGAAAAGGAAAAGAAGGAGACTTTTTTTTTCAGTCTATGAATTAATTCTACCCTCCTTGGGCAAGTGTTTACATTCTATCGCCCAGGGTTAAAAACAAAACAAAACAAAACAAAAAGCAGCGTTTCAGTTACCTTTTAGTTTTGAATAAAACAAAATTAGTTCTCAAAATACAGTTTACAGGTATTATACGAACAGCTCTTTTAACGAGATATTGAACCCTAAAGCAAGGCAAAAAGTTACAGTACTGAATTTAACACACTACTATACATTTATCATGAGTTACAAACTCCTTAATATTTGCTTTCGGAGGTGATTCTACATTACAGCTATATATAACCTATTTGTTACTTATCCCTTTTCCATCTTTGACATATTATAATTGGGTAGTCTCATACGGCTAAGTAGTAACAATTATATGGTAAGATCTGGGTACGAGATTAATAATTGGGTGCTTAAGGGACCAGTCAGTATTTATCACCGGGGAAGGGGGGGAAAGGATGTTTGAGGAGGATCACGTGGTTTTTAAGGGGAACCGAGGGGGGAACAGTGGTCACTTGCAGGGTACAAACGAAGGGGAGGTGCCAATAGAAAATTGTCTGCTAACGATGGGAAATCACTAGAGTACCACCCCCGGGCGATGAGTAATGACTGGTCTCTAATTAAGAGGTGAACGACGGTAATCGCTCTCATTCTACATAAAACAACCTGTATTAGCATTCCTGCTGTTCTAAGCCAGTAAAAAACATCTAATTATGAAAACTATAAATGAATGCTGACCTTGCAAGTGTAAAAGTAAACCTCCCTGCAACAGAAAAGTTGCCCCAAGGCCTCAACTATTTACTCGTTAGCCTCTTTAAAGCCATACTACTTCTACATCATTCGCCTTTTTGCGCCTGCGCAGCTCAATCCTTTTCCCACAGTAAGGTATCCCGTAATCGTCTTCGGCTGCCTCAGCTTCTTCAATAGTTTGGTGCATAGGAGAATAGAGTGTCTCTGGAATCCAATACATTAAAATCCCAGCAAGCGTTGCAACCACGCCAAAAATCACAACTGGGAAGACAATACTGAGGCCTGGAAGCTGACTCTGGAGTAAGAAATTCGATAAAATCATTTCGGAAGTGTTTGTGATCGCACAGCTCTTAAAGCTTGTAAGTAAGATTAAGATAAGCCGAGTGGCGACATCTTAGGCGGGTTGATGCTTGTGTAAAATTTGTGTAAATATCTCTCAGTGAGTACGTGCGCTATGATTGGTCGATTTCACTGTACGACCTGCTAAATTCAAAAATCTGTTTCAAGCATAATTTCCCCCCTCTATTTGAACTCAGAGATATAATAAATATCTCATTAGCCTCGTTTACTCGATCCGCAAACTGTAAGTTATGGAACCTTGTTTTTTTTTTTGTTATTGTTGTTGTTTTTTCAGAATTGGATTTATAGCATGTGCACTTCGCGCATGGGTCATAAATCCGAGCGGAAATATTAACTCGGTCCGTAACTAACAGAATGGACCATGGAAAAAAACGGACGGTTTCTTACCATCAAAACAACATAAGGCGCCAATATTCCACCAATCCGTGCACCAGTCGACCCTATACCTTGACCCGTGTTTCTATTGAGATAAAAAAGGTAAATTGCACAAGTTTTCAAGACCAATTACACTGCGCAGCGGAAAACAAAACAAGTGCCTCATCAAACGCAGACATTCAAATGAATTAGCCCTCCATGATTACCTTAGAACGGTTGGAAACAACTCAGAGGTCATCAAGTAAATACTTGTCCGAGTGCAGTCGATCAACAGGTATCCAAAGAGGGACAATACCGTTGTTGCCACGTCAGATTCTGAAAAGATATTGATACAAAAGGCTTCACTCAGCTGACCATTAAGAGATCCTGGTTCGGTCAAGTCTGGAACTTGTTTTGATGTCACCAAAAGACTCTCAACGAGATAGCGAAGCATGCTAACCAGCCCTCTTGGTCTCATTTTTGAGAGAAAGTTTCTCTGTTTTTTAACATATTGTCGAGGCCAAAAAAATGACTATTTTGCACGAACATAAAAGAAAAGCACTCTGGTCCACGTTTACTATCCTCCTTGCTAGACATCACGGTCAAGGATGCAAGAGAGAAAGCCTGGAGACAAGTGTCGTAATTCAAAACCAAAGAGAAATTTGTAAAAGAGTCAGTTAGAAGCAAAGGAAAAGCAAACTTCCCGAGGCGCAGCAAAACGCGACCCGATTAGCATTGTTGTTGCGTTCAATTAACTGAGATGGTAAAGTGGGATTGATGCGAGGTAACGCATCCCAAATGCAATGTTAGATTACTTTACTCGCTTAAGTTTGTTATAATGTATTACCTTACCTTTGTGCACCAGTAAAACCAAGAGAAAGATGGCGCCCACGAGGATCATGATAATGCCATGACAAATGCGACGACCAAATCTGAGAAAAATAAGATCACAATCAGCATCCCTAGCAACAGAAACCTGACATACAGCCGCCCAGACAGTAATTACGACCGACAGTTTTTTTTTTCATTTCCATACGATGTAGCGTCCAGTCATTTTCTCACTTGACCCACAGCTAACAGCTCAGCGTTTGAACACCCAAAGGTGGTGGTAAATTTCCTTAGGATTTTGTTGAATGAGAGTTTGTTGTTAATCAGGAAAACACCGTTTATTTGATAAATCAATGTGTTAATATTCTGACGGGAAACTTAAATTTTGAGCACCTTTGAGAGTCAAAAATTGCGTCTTTTTCCACACCAGTGGGATTATACTGTTTTCTGCTACTCACTTTACTTAAAAACACTTATTTTACCGTGATCTAAGATAAAACACTTCTTGCGGAGCTGAATATGGTAAGGATTGAATTTAAAAAAGTTACAATACTTGATACGGAAAAAACTTCCATGTTTACTTTAAATATAGAATCCACGTGACGGGTATTCGGACAACTGTGAGGATCTCTATAACAACGTAACTAACATAGAGGTCACCGACCAATTGGGAGATGAATATGAACATCCCAACATTGACCATGGCTACCACAAACCTGCGGGAGTGACAGATAAAAACTCTTTAAGGACCGTTCCTGACACCGGGGATGCAGTATTTTAGGGACCATTCACTTTTTTTCCCCAGAGAAGGGAGGGGTGTGGAGGATTTTTGGGGCAGCACTTGGTTTTCAAGGAGAATGGAGGGAGTATCAGTCGTCGCTAACAACAGAGTAAAAATAGGGGACTATAGAAAATTGACTGTCAATTAACTTCCAAAGTGAGGCAACCACAAGAATATGATTGATCCTTATGAGGGGGGATCTGGTAAATTTGATCGTGACACAACCAAAATCCTCCAACACCCTCTCCCTTGGGGGAGAGACCCTGGGGAGAGAGACCGGTCCCTTAGGAAACGACTATGTTGACCTTCTCTAAATTAAGTGACAGCAATAACAACGTATTGGATGAAAGCACAAGTACCTTACAAGTACCTTATTGGATTAAAAAAAGTACCTGCACACGATAATAAACATGTTTGTTTGTTTGTTTATCATACCACTGATAACAGATGATTGCCGTCCATTTCCTAAGCTTCGGCGTAAGAAACATGTGGATGGGATTATACTTTTTTTGCTGTCTTTTCTCGATCTGTTCCCTTCTTACTCCCTCCAATAGAGATCGTATCACTTCTGAATCTAAAGGTTTCTTATCTTTGCTTCCAAAAGCCTCGATGATGGATTTAGCCTCGTCCAGTTGGTCGTGAGCGACAAGCCATCGGGGAGATTCTGGAATAAGCCTGTGGAATTGCAAATCAGATTTTGTTAGTCCATCACTCTAAAGATTGGTGGATTTTGGTTAGAATGTTAGTCAACAAAACAGTCTCATTCTAAGAATGTCAGTCAGGAGGCCAGTCAGTTAGCCAGCTGGCGAGTCAGTCTGTCAGTCTGCCAGCCAGTCAATGAGTCTGTAAGTCATTAGTCAGTCAGTCAATGAGTTTGTAAGTCAAATAGTCAGTCAGTCAATTAGTCAGTCAGAAGGCCAGTCAGTTAGCCAGCTAGCGAGTCATTCTATCAGTCAGCCAGTCAGTCAATGAGTCTGTAAGTCAAATAGTCAGTCAGTCAATTAGTCAGTCAGCAAATCAGCCGGCCAATCAGTCAGCCAATCGGTCAGTCAATTTGTCAGTTAGTCAGTGAGCCAGTGAATCGGTCAGTCAGTGAGCTAGCCAATCACTCAGTGAGCCAGTGAGTGAGTCATTCAGTCAGTCAGCCAACCAATGAGTCAGCGAGTCAGCGAGTCTGTCAGACAGTCAGTCAATCAACAAAGAAGCAAGAGAGAGACAGAGATAAAAGGAACACGTTGTCATTGTGTACATACTTCCAAAATGGGAATAGCAAAGTAGCTGGGACAGTAGCTATCAAACTCAGATTCCTCCAGTCGCGTTCAAGATAAGCGATGAGGACAAACAACATTTGAAAGCCATTGTAGTAAAAATACGTAATATTTCCAGCAGCTGTTCTATTATTTGGGCCAACCAATTCCATTCCGTAAATGTAAAGGGAGAGCATCACTCCAGTCAAGCCAAAACCGACCATGAAGCGAAGAACCGCGAATAACGGAATAGAATGAACAAAAGCTGAAGGAAAGCCGGTAATCAACTGAAAAATTACAATGAATCAAGGTAAACAAATACAAGTGATTCAGTTTAAGTCTGCCGGTCGAGGCGTGAAATTCAAACTTTCCACCCCGAAGGATCTCATAGACCTCATTTGCCCGTAAGATCATATAAAAGTAAAAATTAACATTGCCAGGAGCCCATTGCTGATTAATGACTAAGCCGTGGTTACGGCCATCTTACCATGATTGCATTGCAGATGAAGATACATTTCTTTCGGCCCCAGGCGTCTGAAATCATCCCGGTCACAAGTGAACCTACCAACATTCCAGCAAAGAAACAGGACTGTATCGTTGCACCCAGGAACGCGCGGTCACAAATCAAGTTCCACTTAAACATAAATGGAAAGAAGGGAAAGGAAATGATTATTTGATTGAAATAATTCTCGGTCGTCTTTCTGTCCGTCTACCTATGTGTCTGTCTGCCTTCATGTTAGTTCTTCGCCTTCCTCTTTGTCCGTCTGTTCATCAGATCATTTGCCTGTTTGTCTGCCCGTGTATATGCTCGTCTCTCCTCCTGCCTATCCGTTTGTTTGCCTGCCTGCGCTCATGGCCACCTGTGCATCATTGGCCTGACTTAAACCCCTGTTCACTCCTCCTCCCCCACCCCCCAGAAAAGTCTTACCTCGGACACGGTGGTCTGAAGAGGTCCTATAAATTCGTAAGCGTGACATCCATCACAACATTTCCTTGCCTCGCACGTGACATTTGGTGTCACACACTGAAACTTAGGAGTACCAAAACCAAACACTAACAAAGAGAACTGGTTTGTTACTGGAAAAACAAGCAATAAAGTGCAGAAATATAAGATTTTTTGGTATTTTCCAAAGGAGGACACGTGTTCAAAAATATCGTCAAACTCAAATGAGCGGCTCTTCTCCTCTGTTACAGAACTGTCGGCCATATTGTTCTAAAATAAGACAAACAAAGGCGAGTTATTCTCAGAGGTCGAGGTGAAAATAGCGGGAATATGATCTGAGTCAATAAATGATTAACTACATATGGACCCTCGTTAAAAAACAACCTCGCAAGCCCTAGCGGTAAAAGCTATTCTTCTGAGAAAACCAGTGTCCCTCTTGTTTCCTCTGCGGCCCTTGTTTGATTTCGTCAGGCAACGAGCTCTCTGATAGAGGAGAAACCAAATGACGGCTGCGGAGGAGACCATGATCTCTCTCGCACGCTTTGCGTGACGAAAGAGATTAGGAAACCTTTGCCTAAGATAATATAAGAAAGTTGCGTCGATGGAAGGGAAGAATCATACATGTGTCTTTTTTCCCGCAGTTCACTAAAAAAAACTTAAAGCGCCACTCTGCAGATCAGCCGAGTTTTAAAAATCAATTAAAATACTTCTATGTAAAGTACGGCGTCTCATTCGAGTCAAAAGAGATACTTATCGGTTCTACTGTTTTCTCAAGCCAAGCTTAGCTGCGAATAACATCGGTTATGCATCAGCTTTGATTTGTTCGAAGAACTTAACTTGTGCCGGATTTACCATTTGTCAAGAGAAAAACTGTAATTCAGCATTGGAATAATTCCAGCCCGTCTTAATCAGTTTGGGGAGATCCACAATGGAATTTTATTTTGACTCATGTGAGTTGCGGAAGCTCAACCTGGTCTGAATGTTTTCACCGGGCATTCTTTTGTTTGGAGCAGGAGATCGTTAATTAGAACCCGAAATAAAGTAGGTCGTGGAAACCAGAATGGCGAGCGAGCACGAGATCGTTCATTAGGAAGCGAAATAAAGTAGGTCGTGGAAACCAGAATGGCGAGGTGTCTCCGTGGTAAGTTGATTACTCATACTAATAAATACACATTACGTAGGTTTGAGATTACAGAAGGTAACAAGGCTTGATAACAGTACTAACCTTAATTTCAAGGGTTCAAATTTCCGAACCAAAGTCTGAGAGATTTTTATGCTGTAATACGCATTCAGTTGCCCACAAGCAACGTTTATGTCTTGCAACTTGCTGCGTGTCAGAAAAGTATGCGATATACATTATGCAAAGAGGTATCAGATATAACTGTCGTCTGATCGCATTATTTTTGTGGAGAGCTATTGTCAACATATTAAGTGTCAAAGCCGGCAAAGGATACGTTCTTCTTCCTCGTTTCGAATTGCAAGCCTGCTTCCAACTTGGAGATTTTGGCTCCTTCTTTATCCATTTTTTTTTCTTTCTCTTCCCACTAATTGCTTCTTGTTGCAGTGTGCATCAAAAAGCCTTCCTACGCCTTCTCATCTTTGTGATTCACTCATCTACGGTGGCAAAAATGTGTAAGAGTAATCTTGCCAAGGTCACGTGCTCACTTGGCTGCCAAAATTTGACTCCGCTAGGGAACAAGCTGGAATGTCTAGGGCACCATAAGTCATTCCCTGAGGCTCTGATATCAATTGACATGCACGAACTTACTTAAGTTTGTACAAATCAACTGACAACCTTCTTAAAACTACCAGAAAACTTTGCTAAAATTATATTGATGTATTTTGTTTGTTATTCATTGAAATAGAGTTAGTGTACTAAAAAAAGATAAAAAGATAAAGTTAGCCTTCAGATACAATAAGTGGTCTAAATTCTCTTCAATTTTGCATACATTATTTTGCTTCATTTTTTTTCTCCTTTATTTTCTCACTGCTTTTTTTTCTTATACTTAGAAGCAGAAACAAATTTGTCACCGCTGTGTAGTTACGCAACAAGGTGATATACAACAATGCATGGTAATCTCGGCGCGCCATAATGACAGCTGCCTCAGATGATCTGGGTCGAGTTGCATCAGGACGAGGCATCGAGGGCCACTATTTTTAGTGTTTACTCATGCTAATAAGAAAATCATGGTCGAGTTGTTCGTAGTCTGGTTAAGGTAACCCAGAGTTAGTGTGAAATCTGATTTCAGGGCTGAAAGCTTTAAAAGAAAATTCAGTCTAATTTTGTTGTCTACAATCTGATAACAGGATGTTCTAAAAGGAATAGAAAAAATTATCCTTTATTAAGGCTTTTGAACAGAGGAATAAAGAATCTCATGATGCCAGGATAAAATTGAACCATGGGTTAGCGCTAGTCGGCCTTCAAACAACTGGGCCCATGCCTAAAAACTGCTGTGTTTCAGAGTGTACAAAGAAGGCTTACGAAGAGAATGGAATGAAAATATCTTTCCACAAGTTCCTAGAGAGACCCATTACAGATATTACACCCATCTGGCTTTGCGGTCGTATGTATTCCTCATGAATCGATGAGCTTTTCTCCGATTGGCCTGACGTTCAGATAAATTTCCTGTCAGGGTTAAAAGGGTCGTTTGAAACCCTCTTATCGCCCTTTCTTCAAAGAAGGTGTGGCAATAGAACCAATCTAAACTAACTCACGGCAATGCGAGATTTCTCTCACGATTTTCACAATGCATCTATCTATTATGCAAAATCTCAGTTAATATTCTGGGCCGGGTTGTTCAAAGCTAGGTTAAGATAACCCAGGGTTAGTGTGAAATCTGATTTCAGATCTGATGGCCTTAAGAGAAAATTCAGTCGGATTCTTTTTGTCACGAATATGATTATTTGATGCTCTATAAAGAACACCAGAAACTATCCCAAAAAGGCATTTGAATAAAGGAATAAAGGAACTCAGATTAAAATTTAACTTTGGGTTTGCACTAATCAACCTTCGAACAACTGGGCCCTGATTTTTAACTTGAATTAAGGCTCAAATTAAATGTCATCGTTTCCTTTTTTGTGTATATGTGTATGTGTTTGCAGTTTACACCTCTGATTTAAACAAACTTGTTCAAGAACTATATTAAAAATTCCTTCCTCTCATACATAGATAGGAAGGCTTTTATTAAGAGAGTGGATCAACCTGCGGGTTAAATTAATTTACTGCCCGTCGGTAATCTAAACATAATGAAAGAACGCAAATGTATCAAATGCGTGTATTTGTGTTTTTCTAAATCAGGTTCAATTGACAATCATTTCCTTTTTCATCGAACTTTGAAAAGAAGGAGTATTTTAGTTTTCTTTAGCAGGTTTGTGTCTTGTTTATACTTAGTTTAAACTTTTAAATAATTCTTTCTAATCATTTGGACTACGATGGCAATTAGCGCTGGAGAAGTCTCTCAGGCAGTTTTATATTTGGCTATTTTGCGTTCTCTAATTAGGAACTACCACATGCAAAGATTAAGCAATGTGTTAATTTCGAATCATCAGTTGATGGTACAGCCTTAAAGTAATTAATCTCTTTTTCTCTTAAAGATTATCAATAATAAAACTTGGAAAAAGTAATGACTAAGATTTCCTTTTTCCCGTCATCTTCGCTCAAATTTCACTCTGTTAACGGACCAAGGTAATTTGACAATGGAACGGGAAATTACAAAAGATTTCCTTTAAAATATTTCATAAACCAGCATACCTGTGGATTAATTAGATGAAAATGAATTACTGAATTGTATCATTGGCCCATAAAATGTTCACAATCAGTTAGTAAAGTCGCCAAGCGGTACGCGCTACAAATTGAACAACAAGGGAGGTTGAAAATTGTCGAACTTCCTGCCTGCACAAGTCAAGAATCCCATTCTTAGCAAAGAGAAACTCAGGCTTGGCTTGTCTAGTAAGATCGCTTCGCAAATGCAAGATTACAGGAACACCACAACAAATCAAATTTTGCCTGTCTATTAGGCTGGCTGCCAGCAATGGACTTGTAAAATTTGCACCTCCCGTGACCCGAACCGGAACAGCGAATCCTCACTGGTCAGCCTAGCGATGAGGCTCGAAGACCTTCATTTACAATCGAATCTCTTCTTAGCCGAAAAGATGAGAGAAAGCCCGAAGTGAAGCCGAGCATGGAGAGATTTACAACTCTGAACATGAATTTGGTGTCAAGTAACTCTGCCACACAGTTTCAGAGTGAAAGATCCGAATTTCCTTTTGGATCTAACTATCTCGAAAGTTTACAAAGGCAGAGTTTTGGCATGGAGCAGTTTTCTAGTAGCAGTTAGCGAGAGG